GTAGAAATAACCATAAATATTAGCCAAAATCCCTATTTGCAAAATGAATGTTTAGACTATTACAATGGTCACCTACTGCAAATAAAGCACTTGGATTGTTTACCAGGTAGTCAATTGTATTGACAAGCTCTGAGCTGGTATAAAAAGTCAAGCTCCTGAAAACCACCTGCTGCTAGATGAAACACCAAAGTCTTCTGTAAGATAATAGTAATGTTAGCACAAGAGTAGAAAGAGTTTTTGTTTGCATTTACTGTGAATAAACAGTATAATTTTAACTGCACATACGCTATCATACATGCCTTGCATGTACATGACAATATATTTTCACCTGCAATTTTTTAGAAGCAGAAAAATGGTTTTTTGAACCTCATTCCTAGTTAGCCATTTCTGGAATAAATACACAAACATATGTATTTATTATGCTTACCTTTCTTTTCTACATGTTTCACATTCTTAAAAACATTCCTTGAATTTTTTTTGTTACAATTGTTGTGATACTTGCCCCACAGTAAACCCCTCCAGGATGCAGTGTAGTTAAAAAAAAAGTTTTGGGTTCAGTGCAGTTGACAGAGTAACTGAGAAGATGAAAAGAATGAACTACATTTGCACTCTTGGTTTCCCAGCAGAACTTCTAGCAAGAAACCCCTTGCAGGAGACAGGGAACTGGGAGCAGCCTTCTCTGCTGACTTAAGCCCCACTATGTCTGCACAGCAACAGAACACAGCTATAGAAGGGCAGCTGGGAACGATGGAACAAAGTTTGTATTCAGGAGCTGGATGACAACTGTGATGTAAATTTTCCAGTTGTAATAGGCTGCTCCCATCTAGCTCAGATAGTGACTGATGATGAGTCAGTGTATAGAAATTCTAAAGTGTTGGTGTCATTGCAGTTCCTAGAACACAGCCAGCCAAGATGCAGAACTAACAGAACCTAACCTGGCTTCATAGCAAAAGTCATCTAAATAATGGCAAGGCACACTGACAGGCCAGTGTGGTGAAGTTACACTGTCAAACACCTTAGTAATCTGCTTTCTTTTTCCAAGGTTATCATTTATTAGGCATGAAATTTATTCCTGCTGTGCCAGTCACCTAGAGCCATTAGTATAGTAATACCATTCTACAACAAACTCATGACAAATTTAAAATTCAAGATGGACATTACCATAGAAACAAACAAAAAAAAACCCCAACAACCTTTTTACTTAAAATTCAATCATACATTGCTTACTCCTTGGCTTACCCAAAGTTAATGCTTGAGAAGAGGGAAATGCAGAATGTCCACTGATCAACAGTAGCCTCCAATTCTCCAGGAGCTGATAATAGAATTACCAGCTTCTGATTGTTATTAAATTTCATAATATTATTAAATTTTAACATATGCTTAAATCTTCATAGGATCAATTAATTTATACAATCCAGTTTATGCAATATATGAACATAGCATTTCTGCAAATTTCCTCAGGTAGCTAATTAGTTTTTACTCAGAAAAGTTAGAAGTTGGCTATGATTAATCACTTTTCCCTGGAATCATCTGATCTTGTTCCTTTACTGCACCAAGTGTATTTGCCTAGAAAGCATAATTCTTCTCTGCTGTGGTACCTAACACTGAAAATAACTACTGTAAAATGAAGGCTAGTGCTTCGAGCTAATCAGACACATTCACTTCAATAAAGTATTAATACTAGCAAAATACCTTATAATTGCAGACAACTGCAGGTTCATGAAGCACTTTGCAAATAGCTCAATTCCACTGCTCCCACGATGTACAGCTGCAGTGCCAGGTACCCTGAGCATGGGATACAGAACTCTCCAAAACACTCTGTGGCAGAGGCTGCATTGCAGCTACACTTTTTGTAAGCACACAGTGTCCTCCCTTTTCCCACCTAAGCCTATTGCTTCTGTATTCATGCATCTCACTTACCTCAGTGCAAGTAATGAGAGAATTTCTTTGCTTCGTTAAAAGACTTGTGAAAAAAGGAGAATTTATTTGATCATTTGGGTCAGAGAGTCATTATGCCCCAAAAGACAAAAGAGATTTCTGTAAGTAGAAAAGTCTGCTGGCATCAGGTTCTCTGCAGAAATGGGTTTAACTGGACTCACCTGAGATTGTATGAAATACTAAAACACATGGAAAGAATGCCTAAAAAGCTAATCCTTTCATTCTAAGTGCATCAACTTATTTGAGATACTGGTCACCACTGTCATACTAATAATCGATACTAGTTCTCAATAACACTAACAATTTGAGTGTGTGGAAAGGAAAGGAGATTTTGCATCCCTTTGTTTGTTTTGTTTGATATACAATACCATATTGGAAGGGGACAAAAGAAATCACACATTTCCATCCTGGGCTTTATAAACAGAAAATATCAAACCTATCATTACTTTCTAACCATCTACTAAGACCCAATGAATTAGTGATTAACGTAGAATCTGGGGAAGCAACATCATAGTAAGAAACTGAACTTTTTTATAAAAGTACCTGCCTCAAAGCTGTTACTCATATGACATCAATGTGACAGCTGTGAACACTGCAAAGAAAAGAGAAAACTCCGTAAATTTAGTACTTTAAAAGAAAAAAAAATCCCCAACAACCAGAAAAGCAGTGTTACATATATTGCTGTTAATTGCACGGAATTTTGCTGGATGTGGCTTCAAAAATTAGGCAGCCACACCAACAGCATAGAGGAAATTTCAGTGATGGGCACGCAGTACAGTTGCATAATGCAAAAAATAAAATTCAAATTTTGTATGGGCAAAAATTACACCAATGTAAGTGAAATAGTGAAGCAAACTCTTAATACCAACACATTCCAAATACAAGCACAGATTTTGGTCCTGTAGGCTGGAAAAGTTTCAGGAGGCCACCAAAAATTTCCACCTGTTCTGTATGTGAATTTGCCTGCAGTAACTGTACTTATTTGGGCCACCAGATGAGCCTTTTATAATGATCAGATAACACTTCTTCCTGAAAGTCATGTGCATAAACATGTGTATTTCAGCCATAAGTCAGTACACACAATTCTAAATCTAAAGCAATTATTTTTAATCAAAGAGCTTCGCTAATGTGCAAATCCCACAAATGACGAAACACGTGGAGTTTATTAAGTTTGCATACTTCCATAAAACAGAATATAGCAATTATTAGACATGGACTAAACGCTTTTTGTAATTCCCAGATCCTGTACACTGCTGTCCAGAAGGATTTTCATCTATTCTCATTATTACTGATCCACAGTATGTGAAAGAGGTACTGCTAGGCATGTATATGCTAAAAATGGTACCTGCTATACAGCCAGTAGCAAATCACATAAGCTACTCTTACAATACACAATTCAAGTAACTTAAACCAGTCATTACCACTGAAAGACTAATACTGTAATTATGTTCTGCATGCCAATAGCATAATTTGATTATCTGTTATTGAGCCTATTAGTATACCTCTTTCCAAACCAAGTGGGATTCTACAACATCGAAGTTGTATTACTACAATTTCTACCACTGGAGATTCAATAAATACACATAGGGAAATATAATTTCCATCACACTAAACGAGAACAGTAAACAAATGAAAACAAAAAAAACTTCTGAGCTAAAGGTGTTGCTAAGATTTCTTAACCTTGCACAAAATCTGTTTTTCATAGCTTTTTAGGCCTATACCTTGTAACTGTCCCTGTAGCTCCAACCACGACAATGCTGGTACAAGTCACACAGAGATCCTTGAGCTCACACCAGCCTTACTGATTTAATTGCTCTTTCTATATGTCCCTGTGCCTGCTGGTAGTTCTGGCTGTGTTCAAACAGTGCACAGAAAACATACTGTTTGCCCTGGAACACTTCAGAGTGCAACCTAGTCTGACAGGGACATTGATTTATAGCTTAAAATAGCAGCACAAGGATAAAAGCACCTACAACCCAGCAATAACTTTCCAAATCTGAACCTGTGCTGGTTTATCAAAGAAAGTAAGAAGTGCAGAGCGTAACTCCTTACTCACGTTTTGTTTTATTTTATTTTATTACCACGAGTACTGCCAGTGGTACGGGATACCGTGCCCGGGGCTCGCCTGAGGGGGGAGAGCGCTCGTACCCCGAGCTGTGCTGGGACTGGCGGCCACGCTCCCGGCACCGGCAAAGCGGGGATTTATGTTCCTCTCCGACTACGGTCTGTACTCCTTCTCCCGACACCACGCCGCTCACCTAAGTGTATCTAAACAAGCTCCCGCTGTTACCACCAGTCAGAGCGGTAAAACCCAAGCCGCGGTTCACTCTCCCCGTACGTGCCGCCCTTCAGGCCGCTGCCGCCTCAGCATTGTCCCGCCATGTCCCCTCAGCTCCTGAGGGGAGCGGGCTGGCAGGGACAGCCCGACCCACCTGAAGGGAAGCGTGAGCGGGAAGCGATGCCTGCAGCTTCTCGCCACTTTCCCTCAGCGGGGGCGGAAGCGTGTGGGGCCGCGCCCAGGGCGAGCCGCGCAGAGTTGGCTGCGGGGAGAATACTATGCACGAAACGGCGCTCGCCAAGCAGCGCACAGGGACTGCGGGTCCGGCCAGGAGCGCCACCTCCCCCCGGCCATCCCCATCCTAGCGGTGCCCAGCCCCATATGCCCGGCCAGGCCGTCACGCTCCGCCTCAGCCCAACAGAGCGAACTTGCGACGGCGGGCGTGGCGCAGGAATCCCACGGCCCTCGCCCCCCACTATCCCGGCACTCCGGCATTAATCGTCTCCTTATATGGACACCAGAATGTCTGACGTCATCTCGGCTCTGGGAAACCAGCGCCCGCGCAACCAAGCTTGGTTGGGAAGGCGGGTGGTGCGGGAAAGGCAGGGGGTGGAAGGGGAAGGAGGCTCTGGAATGTTGACGGACGCGGCGTTGCGCCACTGGGAGCGACGGCCGCGGCTCGGCCATTGGGAGAGGCTGTCGGGGGCGGGAGCCGCGGGAGGGGCGGACTGTGGCGGTTGAAAAGCCGCCGCCTGGCTGAGGATCGGCGCCAGTGCGGGGTGGGCGCTGCCAGTGGGTGGCTGGAGGGCAGCGAGTTCGAGTCCCGCCTCCGTGAGCCCGAGCCGGCAGCCCTTCTCTGTGTGCCGTACTCCGCTCCGGGGCGAGGGGAGCTCGGAGTGGTCGTTTGGTTTCCTGTTCTTGCTCCTGTTCCTCTTTGCGCGGAGGCCGCGGCTTTCTCTGTGGGGCGCCAGCCCGCAGGGACAGAGTTTGCCAGGAGTTTGTGCTGAGTTCGGGCCCCGGCCCCCCGCCCCGCTGCCGCCATGCCCGTCTTCCACACGCGCACCATCGAGAGCATCCTGGAGCCGGTGGCCCAGCAGATCTCCCACCTGGTCATCATGCACGAGGAGGGAGAGGTGGACGGAAAGGCCATCCCGGACCTCACCGCCCCCGTGTCGGCCGTGCAGGCCGCTGTCAGCAACCTGGTGCGGGTGAGTAGCGGCGGCCGGCCCGCCTCCTCCGCGCCTTCTCCTGGGAGCGACTTTGGCCGCTGCGGCCAACTTGGGAGTCCGGCGGCGCCCGCTCCCTCCGGGCTGTGGCGGACAGGTGTCCCGGCCCCCGCCCTGCCAGCACCGGCTGGGCGCGGTGCCGGGGCCCGGGAAAGGGTTAAGTTGGAAGGCTGGCTGGACCTCGGCGGCTCCCGCCTGGAAGCCGCCTTCGTGTGCTCCCGCTCCGGCCGGCGAAGGAGCCGGGAGAGCCGTGCTGTGGAGCAGTGAGTTGTCCCAACAGCGAGTTGCTCGCCGTCTCGGAACGAAGAAGCCTTTGCCCACCTGAGGAGCGGCATCACATTAAAGTGCAGTTCGCGTGGTAGTTGCTGCTGTTCATACCCGCCCCGAAACCCTTCACAGATGGCTCTGATACGCTGTGTGGTTCTTTGCTGCCTAGGAAACTCCTATTTTAAGTGTATGCGCTATAAAAGGCAAAATACTTACTTGGCGTGAGCCTATCCAAAGAATCCCAAACCCAACCAATAATAAAGCCCAAACCTCCCAGGCATTTGGGTTTCATTTTTAAATTGGTAAAGGCTGGCCGTTCCTTATCAGTGCAGGAGTTGAGGCGGGACAGACCTGTGGCTTCCAGGCAAAGTCTGGAGCTGTAAATTGTTCTTGTTACGTAGCCTCGGGTATGACTTACTTTTTGCTTGAGGGGAGCTAAAGGTGACGGAAATCTGGCCTGACTCTCTCGACTTCTTCAAAGTAGCTACGCACAACTTGTCTCTTTAAGGTCTGAGTACTTGCAGAATGGACACTGCAGTATGAGGAGTGCAAGTGACTAATACATTTGAAATGTTTTAGTCGTATTAGCACTTTTAAAATCAACAAAAGAGTAACGAACTGTTGCAAGGCAGAAGTATTTTCTTTGCTATAGAAAGCACTGTGGTATTGCCTACTCTTCTTCTGGATCAAGAATTACCTAGTAATACTTATCCTGCACCTTTGTTAAGCTTGTTTCCAGATACTGTGTTCATTTTTTGAACATCACAGGTTACTTGCTCGTTTTGAATCCTGTAAAATTGTGAAGTAATTCCTGGCAAGAAATACTCCTTGCCAGTAAACTTTGCCTTAAACTGAATAGCTGTGCAAGTTAAAATACTGTGTCACTGTTAACCAATGTTTTAGTGCTCTGAAATCATGAGGCTTGTGGGCATAAGAAGCTGTCAAGATGACTAATGTATGCGATGTGTTTATAACATTTTGGCCTGTAGTGCTTGCTACTGCTAGAATAACTTGCCACTTTGAGGTTTTGCAGTTTACTACAGTGTAACTGGGTCTCTTGGTCGCCATGACTCTAAATATTACAGACTGTCTAGAATACTTGTGCTTCTTGCAGACTATAACAGACGCTCATGTTTTATGAAGAACAGTTGTTCTGCAGCGATTCACTGGTGTAGTAATAGGTGTTTTGGCTGTAAGGGTGTGAAGTCTGTGTGTATGAAATACTTTTCCTTGAAAGGAAGATATTGGAGTAATGCTTTGCTTCTCTGAGCTAACCCTGTAACACTGGGTTGTGTGATTGTTTTTCCCCACACCATCTTTCTCTCAAAAGAGACTTGATCTGATAAAGTCTCATTTATTAGAGAAATGCAGAAACAGAATTAGTTTCTTTCTGCAGCTTGCTGATGCTAACTCTTCTTTCATTTTGGACTGGTTTGGAAGCCTCTGTTTTTCTCTTCTTGCCTGCTATTTAGATAAATGAAAGATTGTTGAATTATTTTTTCTGTGTTTATTCACAAACAGCAAATAAAAGTGGTTTAATCTGAGGTGGTAGTTACCAGGAAGATGTCTTGATCTATTAAAATAAAGCTTTGTGCACATTCGAAAAAATGCAGAATTAAAATTGTTTCGTATCTAGAGCTCTGTTTTCACCCTGTGTGCATCACCCTGAAGTGTAAAGGTGATTTATGCAACAGCAGTTTCACAGGAGCAGGAGAATTTGTGCAGACAGGTTCTTGAATTACGAGCCTTCTGGTGGCTTCCCAGATGACAGCAAAGATGGAGTTATCAGTGCAAGCAAGAGAGAAATGTAGCTGGTGGCTCGTAGTGTTGCTTGCTGTCTGCTCAGGGTTCTTAGTGTAGTGTGAGTATCACCAAGTACATAAAGAAAAGTACTGAGGGAGTATTTTAGTGATAAATTTTTATATACAGCAGCACTACTCTGTCTGCCCAGCCTATAGTAAGGATTATGCAGTTTGGAAAATTCAATATATAATTGATATAACTATCATGTCTGTATATAATTGCTGGTAGAAGTGTTTGAAGTTTTGAGACTGATTCTTGCGGAAGGCCTAGAAGGTGTACTCAGAGGGGAAGTGAGTTAGGAAATTACTATATGGCTATAAGGAAGGACCTATGTGCAATAACTTGAACATTCCTGAGATGGAGTTAGCTCTATACAGTCCTCAAGATGGAACAGAGGTTGATAGATATGAGAGTCTTACTTTAGGACTATTAGATTAGTCAAAAGGGAGTCCTCCTCCTAAATACCCTGACTAGAGACCAAACTTTAACTTTGGCATGCATTTCTGTGTTTTCTGTCATTAATAGTTATGCTGTATTTTAAGGTTTGCCTGAAGCCATCTTAAATTACATGGCTTTTTAATGTAAAGTTTGCACACTCAAGTAGACCTATCATAGAGATACTTCCTTATCAGGACCTAATTGTAAAGGAATCCTGGAGAAGAAATAGTCCAAGTCATTGTTGAAGTTAATGAAATAACTAAGTCTTTACAAATTAATCATTCTTGTAATAATACACCAAAGAAAGACTTGGTATTCTGTTTGCAATATGCAACAGTTTGCTTCCACTGCATCTTGATTATTCTGTTGAGGAATAGCTTTTGCACAATAATTCTCAAATTGTTTTGAAGTATTTGGTGAAATTTCTTAACTGGCTGCCTCAGAGTAGTGTTGCTGTTGCTCTGCCAAATGCCGACAATACCATGGGGGAAGCTGCTGAGTTTGACAGATTAGATTGTAATTCTCTACATGAAAATTAAGGTAGTAGACAGGACTTGGGAAGCACACAATTTAAAATAGGAGCAGGCTCAGCAGCTCAATAAGGTGTTGGTTTTTCAGAATCTGGGCTGTTAAACCAGGTCAATAGTCTGACTGCTTTACCTGGGACCAATTGCTTAAGACTTACCCTGTTTTCATGTTCTTCATTTTCATAGAGCTTGAGCCATTTGAGCAAAGTGATACTCCTATGAAATGCTCATAATGGAAGACTTAGGACACTAATGGTAACAAGTGAAGTGACTGAGGTCCTTCGGAACTGAGATCTGCTCTGAAAAAACCATACTTTTCTATTTGGTGATGCAACTTCTGCCATTCCATCCTCTGTGCTGTCCTTTTATATGTGAGTCTGTTTCACAAGTGTCTATGTGCATCCAGTTTCTATTATATTATTTTTTATGGGAAAAAAATTGCTTTCCTCTCAATAAGGTGTTATTGTTGGATGCTGTGATATGGCTTTATTTACCTACTGAGGTTTGGAGGCTTATGAAAGGCTACTGACACCTTTCTGTATCTCAGTTACTATGACTAGCTAGGTCAGGCTAATCATCAGGAAGGGTCTGTTAGATTATAAAGCTCCTGTCTCACAGTCAGGCTTTATCAGATGTTTCCTTTTAGTAGGTCTGGGCCAAGTACTATTTTAAAATGTAAATAAATCCAGTCTAGAGTAAGCTTGACTGGAGACTACTTGATGGGAACAAGACCCTGTAGTACTGGGTCAAAGTCATGTGTGTCAAAGGTTTTGTGACTTCCTAAAGTTGTGAGGTCAGTCTCTTTAAACTAGCACCACCTGAAGCCCACCCCATCTAGGCACAACTAAAACTACCCAGATAGCTCTTAAAACAGAAGGAACTTGATACCAGTGTTTTGGCAGAGACAAAAAGTTTAAACCCAACAAAAAAGTCAACAATGAGAGTGTTGTATTTAGGACAGCTGCACTATCTCAGCAGAGGAAGAAGCAGCAATCACTAGAAGCCACTGGCATGTTCTGTCTGCATATCCATGGGCCTCTGACAAGTGAGAAGTTGCCTGAGGTTGCAGGGCCATTTGGAAAGGGCTATCCATCTTCCCTGGACAGGCTGTAAATTGCCTCCTGACACCTGCAAACCACCAGCTTGGAAATCACCTGTTTAAATGAATTTGTGAAGAATGCAGCCTTGCTTGAAATCCTTGTCATGATTCCAGCAGCAAAAGTCAAATACATGGATAAATACCTGGAATGAGAAGTGTTCTGAGGAGAGTGGATGGTAAAACAGCTTTATCATCCTAAGTTTTATTTTGGCATAACTGACTTGCTTGTAATTCAGGTTACAAAGAGGAGTGAGCTGTGGTGAACAGCTCAGTGTTTCTCTTTTTTGAGGGGAAAACCTAGCTTGCAATATGTTTATGTATCTTAGAAAAGAATGGAGAAGAAAGGAAAAAGATAAGCTGTTTTCTTGCAGAATTTTCTGCACAGCACCCAAGATGACTCTCAGAGGGGTTGAGGTTTCTGCATTTTTCCTCGATGTTTGTAACTTGTCATAGGATATGTATCGATCTGTGCCTCTCTATTTTCAGTTAATTATATTGTTACATTTTGAAGCTAAAGAAATGGTCAAGAGAGCAGATCATCTGAATTCTACAGAAGGCAAATTTAGTGACAAGTGAATGGGCACTAGAATAGGCTTGAAGCTCTCATGAGAGAATGTGTCTTTTCACTACAGCTTTCTAGGTCTTATCTATTAGTAGTAGAAAACTGATTAGTGTTTTACAAATAATGAAATTTTCCTCTTTTTTTATTAGAATATCCTTCAGTGTACAGCAATTTCTTCAGGGATCATTTGCCATATTGTGGGAACTGTGGCCATATGCTCTGAGAAAGTGGATAAACCCCATTAGGGTGTGTGTATAGGAGGGGCTGGGAGAAGAGTGATTAATCA